GTGAGGGAGAGGAAGTTGGGGTGAAAATGCTAGGGTTCGAAAGTTGAAGAATCTTTGAGGGGGAAGAAGCACGTTGGTAGGTATGTTGGGTGGAGCTATATTTTGGGATATATGGCCTAAATGAAGAAAAGAAGCTCATGGCGACAAGTTGTGCTTGGAGGGAAAGTTCCTAGCGTGGTTGCAATGGAGGGAGGCTAAATACCCAATTCGCTCATGTGAAGAATTAAGAATTGCTTGTTAGAACATTTTGGGAAAGAGACCTGCAGAAGCAATTCTTTGCATTTACTTGAGAAGGGACTGTCATAGAATATAAGGAGAGATTCGAGCTATTATCGAGACGGCTAAGGGGAATTTTTGAAGCAGCATTGAAGAGTATTTCATGAAGGGTCTAAAGCCTCACATATGTTTGGAATCAAATCCCCATTCAGTATAGCATTTTTATGTCATCAAGTGCATCCCAAAATTAATGTTCATTTACAATATCCTTAAACATCAAAATTGGGGTAGTTAAATTTATTTTTTTTTTTTAAATAGCATTCATGGAGTGGTAGTATTTTCTGATAACAAAAGAGTAACACTTATACCCCATTTATTGTTGGCATACCCAAGAAAAATATACCAGGCATATTTAGGATCAAATTTCTGTGATTACGAGAATGGACATAAATAAAGGATATACCTTAAGATTTTAAGTGAAATAGTAGAAGAAAATTTTTTGATGTAAAAATCAGTAATCATCAAAATATGAAGAGGCGTTTTGAAGTTAAAAATCAAGCTAGGCACTCAATTGATATGTTAGAGTAAGAATTGTTTCTCCCCAAAAATATATGAAAACTTGATGAGAAATCATAATTGAGTGTGATACCTCAGAGAAATATTTGTTCATTTTCTCAATTATTTCATTTTATTGTGGGGTATCAATACACAAACTCACATAAATGATTTCATTTTTTTTAAAGAAATGTTGCATGATCAGTTTTGACAATTTAAATTTTGCACTGAAATTGACTTTGAATCATGTCAAAGGTTTGGAAGATTTGGAATGTTTCAGATTTTTCATTTATTAGGAATACCTAAGTTTTTTTTAGTGTGATTGTCAATAAATGAGAAACCATTTGGCCACACTTAAGGTTTTCACATTTAAAGGTCCCCAAATATCAATATGGATACTAGCAAAATGGCGTGAGGGTTTGTATTAGGTCATTGAATAACTATTTCTAGTGTGTTTGACAAATTGACAAATCTCACATTAATAAAAATTAATTTTTTATTGGCAAACAAATGAGAATAAAACAACAGTGATGACCCAAGTTATTACAAGAAATGATTTTAAACAGAAATAGACTCAACAAACACAAAACTTAGAGATAATAAGCACATGAATTCATTTGTGTTCAAAGAGAGATTTTTCTTGAGCAGGTAGAAGCCTTGATGCATTTTAACGTTGTCAATCACCTTCTTCAACTTTATCACCTAAAATTCATAAGAGCTTGCAGGAGATTAGTTATGCATTTCCTATCATGAATAAACTTATTGATTGAAAATAAATTATTGTACACCTGTCGAATCCTCCATTTCCAATCAGTATCAACTTCTTTCTACTCTCTTCTCTCCTAACTTCGGCCAAGACTCCACGAATAAGATGGCAGAGGCTTTGTTGTCATGATCCTCTCTCTCGCCTCATCCAATTCTTGAGTTAGCTCTACTAAAAATTTGATGATTCTCTTCTTCTCGATGATGGATTTAAATATCACAACATCAAGTGGACATTTTCACAAGTGTCTCAAATATATCCAATTATAAGCAATACCTTATCAAAGCGTTAAAGTATCGGATGACACTTGGCTCTCCATGGCGAGAATTATGAAGCATGTTTTCAATCTCAACCAGCTCTATAGGGTTTACAGCATTGAATTATGTTTCTATTGCAACCTCCAAGATTTCTTTGGTTGTCGTGTAGAGAAAAATAGCTTTCTTCCATTTCAATCAGTAATCATTAAGTTGACTAGCCAAGACAACCATATGATCTCGATTCTTCCATGTGCGGTGGTTAAGGTCGGTGATCTCAAGAATTGTGAATTCTCCCCTGACATGTTCCTCTTTTTATTGAAGATAGCTCCAGCCATTAAGTTCATGATTTGTGATAGAGTTAAAAGAAGACAGGAGTCTTCTGAAAAGAATCTCTAGTTTTTTATTTAGAATTAATATCCAGGGTAGAACTTAACGTCTTCATTCGTACTTGGTCATCAACCTCACAGGTATTTAGGATTGCTACTTATTGTAGGAAGAAGGTTTGTTGTTGTTGTTGTCGGAGGTTGGTTGGGCTGTAGAATCGGTTGCTACTGTTGTCGCTGCGGCCTAGGAGGCTTCTTGCAAAGGATCTGCAACAGAGAGAATTTCGATGGTAAAAGAGTTTTTTTGGAGGAGAGCCTGCAGTAGGGAGACTCCAATGGAGACAAGCCTGCGATAAGGAAAAATCTGGTGGAGAGCCTGTAGCAGGAAGATTCCAACAATGAAAAATAAGGTAAAGGGATTTTCAAAAAATGAGAAATAAGTTGATAAAGTACTAAGATGAATCAACTAAAATAATAGTGATTTGTGTCTCTATTATGAAGACAGGAAGCGCATTAAGTAAACAATTTATTGTGCCAACATACGATAGTGCGTATACAAAATAACTCCATCATATTACCAAAATGTTAAGCTTAAATTCAATAAACAAGTTGAATCAAAGTTGAGAAATTTACAGTGGTAAGTCAAATCTAATAAATCTACTCTCCCAAATAGTGATGAATAAAATGGTGATAAATTAGGGTGGAGCCCATAATTCCAAATAGGATACGTGCATAGACACTAGTATCGTTCAAGGTATCAAGCGGATTGTCACTAGGATCATTCACAGTATCAAGAGGATTGTCACGAGTTAGTAACATAACAACTGGTTTGTTAATGTTAATTTTCATAATTTCATTTTCTGCTGAGGTGATTTGATTATAGCAAGCAAAACTTTATTTAATTGTTTCTTAAATTAATATTTTCTAGCAATAAATTCATTTATACGACCATTTAGGACTAGGATCATTCCCAGTATCATGCGGATTGTCACATGTTAGTGACATAACAACTAGTTTGTTAATGTTACTTTTCTTAATTTCATTTTCTAATCAGATAATCTGATTATTAAAAGTAAAACTTTATTTAATTATTTCTTAATCTAATATTTTCTAGCAATAGATTCATTCATATGACCATCAGGGACTTTCCTCGTGGTGTTTACATAGAAGAATAATACAACCTAATGATATTTGTGCATCATACAAAAAAAAGCCCAGAATCAATTCAAAGCAAATAATTAAGGCCTAATCCACCTAAAAACATTGGATGGCAACAAATTCCTGATTAACAGATCAAGCAAACTTCAAAAAAATAAAAGAAGAGTGCCAACAATATATATACTCATCACATGATGAATAATGCTCCATAAAATAACTCCATACAACCGAAATATTAGATAGACATCACAATACACATTAAGTTCATCTCTACAAAAGGAAATAAGAAGCAGTGATACACTCATGTCAATCTATAGTTGTGCTCCTCAAAGTACTTCACACAAGCCGAGTTCAAACTTGACATTCTTAAGAATCAATTAATCCAATGGTGAGGCAATTCTAGAAAAACTTCAACAAATATCATATAATAACTCACTAATTTAATAAAATTTTTGACAATTACACAAGCAGATGTCTTCTTAAAAGAAACTTTAAACTTCTTGGTATCAGCTAAAGTTCTAATTCTAAAAGTAATATTCCAAAAATATCACATCCTTGAGCCAAAAAATTACATAGTAGCTTCAACCTGGCATGAAGGTTTTTATTTTGTTATTATTATTTTTTTAATCGAATAATCTCTAAAAGAACTCTAAGATGTTGCTCATACGCTCTTGGAGTATTAAGATATCATCAATTAAAATAACAATATTTGATTTGACAATTAAACAATCAATTCATAAAGTTGTTGGAACATTGGTTAATGCCAAACACTACCATTAAAATTTCATAATACCCAATAATTAATAAGTACGAAATTTTATCAAGAAACATCCACTATTTTATCCCTCACCAAGTGTTAACCTAATCTAAAGGACACGAATTCCTCAAAAATGATCAAACCTGCAATCAATAAGAGAAAAAAAGAATATTTATTTTTCATAATCGCCAAAATCAATTGTTCATAATCCATAAAAAGCCACATGAGTTCATACTTGAAATTAGCATGAAAGCTTCACAATAGAAAACACTGGACCTAACAAAACACTTATATAATCATTCTTATAATTGAATTTTTAGTTCTTCCAACTTAATGGATTTATCCTATGACATGGCTTAAAAAAAAGTGTACCATTATAAGCTAGCTCAATGCTGAATTCAACTTCTTTCAATGGTGGCCAACCATAAAACTCCATAGGAAACACATCACAACAAATGGCACCAAATATTCTCTGATATTGAAGGTTTACTTCCCTGAACTTCAATTAAGATAGAAAGATACTCAAAGATCCCATCAAGAAGTAAATGCTAAGAATCATGTCCCTTGTTACCACTAATAAAGCTTAAGATTGTTCTAGAGAATTAAAAGTACTCACTTGCAAAAGCAATCCATTGAGACATGATAAATGAAGAGTCGATCCATCACTAAGATGACATCAAAGTCATCTAGATAAGAAATAGTCAAACCCACGAGTAAATCAAAATCTCCAACCTAAACTAAGTAGATGATTGAATACCAAAAAAATTGGATCATATGCAAACACAAACGGAAAATGTTTTATTGATTCATAAATGATACCCAAACATAATACAAGGAAAAATCATATTAAGAAATGAGTATATTCATTATCTAGCAATCCCCAATTAAAAGATAATCAAATCATATTAAGGAATGAGTATATTCATTATCTATCAATACCCCAATTAAAAGATAATCAATGATAAAAGTACCTTCAATAAATGAATTTGGGGTGAGGGCCTCCTATTGAGTCAAAGTAAACACCATATTGCCGTTTTTGTTGCTTTTACTAAGGCTCGATGGTTGTTCAATATGACCGCCTCTACAAGAATTTCCAAAAGCATGCCTTGGCGGATAGTGATTACAGTGAAGACGAACATTTGATTCCCACTGACTTAGCATTGTCACCTAATTCATTGCACTTGAAGCACTTCACAGCAAAATTTTTAGACATGTCTATCTGTTGATCTTTGGGTTTGAACTTCCAATTATTCTTCTAAAATTTTAATGCTCCACCAAAGCCAAATGTAGGTTTCGCTTCTTGTTTCATTTTCATTATTAGACCATCAATTTTTTGTAGTGTAACACCTTACCAACCATTACATAAAATATCACCTAATATAGCCACTCAGATAGCTCATTAGAAACTCTGCTAGAAATATTAAGCATTGCGAACTTCATCTCCCATAAGGCCAAATACAAACCATACCCAGATGGCATGCCACAGTTGTCTCCCTGCTAAATGGAAGTAAATCCATACCTCGAACAGCTTTAAACTCCAGTGTTAAATATTCCTCAAAGAAACCACCATGAAATTGTTCCCTGGTAATATATTCCTCAGCTCAAAAAGCCCATAACTTAAAATTTCGCCATACATCAGCTTGAGCCTCAAGTTCTTAAGCTATAAAAATGACATTTCGATAATAAATCACTCTTAATTAGCTTGTCAGATTGAGCACAAAACTTCAAAAAGATTTTACTTGCATGTAAATGCAAATGGCACCATTATAAATTGTTCAAGCTTTGAGAAAACCACGACTAAAAGACCACCCTCTCCTCCAGCATGCATCAGCTACACTGGTTGAAGATATTGTTGCTGTCCTATTAGTTGCATTAAAAATCATTTAATTTTTGTTGCCTGTTCAAAAGTTGTCACAGGATCTTGCACTACAACAAAAACCCCGTAGCCCATCATAGGCTCATCTATAAGCACACATGCTGCTTTAATAGCAAGCCGCCTTCCAGATCCATAGATCATGCTCCATCAGAACCAATGCTTCCTCAACTTTGACATATCATTGGAAACCTAAATTAAGTAAATAACTGTGGTAAGTACCTCATTAATAATATCCTCACCGAGAACTCTTATTACAATTCCATAATCCCTAAGACTTTGCACTAAGCCATAAATTTGTTACCCCGTACTAGACTCAATCAAATTTTCATGAGTGATAAATCCAAAGCATAAACAAGTTATATTAAGTAAAAACAAAGTGTTGAACTAAAAACTAAGAAAAAAAGTATCGCAAGTGATAAATTTTGAGCTTATTACAGTTTCATCAAATATAGTCCAAGACCTACCTTAAAGAAAAAAAATGAAATAAAATCAAAATCCTATTCAATATCACAATGAGAGCACCAAAAAAACAAATAAAACTTCCTTGAAGGTTTCTCAACTTTATCCAATACATGTGATGTATTAGAAAGAATAAGCAAAAATCATAGCTCAATTAAGAGAATTCCATGACATTACTGAAAATATCATAACCAACAATGCTTTCAAGCAACTAGGAACATCCAAAACAAAGATAAATAATTAATTTAATAATATACTACATCCATTTAAATAATTATTGGAATATTTTCAAACGTAGAATTATCAATGCAAATTAATAAATTGTTGTGAATGGACCTAACAATGAAGTATAATTTTTAAAAACAAAGAATCGATCAAATTAAGTAAAAAGTTAAAGCAAGCCAAGGACAAGAGTGAAAATTCAAAGAACAATATAAACGAGTTTTTGTTGCAATAGGCTAGATCAGTTAAGATCTAAACTATTATGCATCATCGTTCCATATTTTGGTCATAGCCTGCTTATGACTTAACCTATTCCTCACCTCTAGTCCACCAAGTTCTCGGCTATAATGTAGTTATAAGTCCATTACACAAGCAAACATCCAAGATTATAAGGTTACCTTCAACATTATAGCAACAACACTAAATCAACTAATCATCATAGCAATAGTTGTAGGCATCAATGCCATCTCACCCTCCACGATTTTAAAGAAAAAAAAATTCATATCGTCACCTAGCTCAGCCACAAAGAACCATAAATTTGCCAAGGCCTAAATAGGATGTCAAACTCCCTTAAACCAAGAAAATGTTGCATAGGAGTTCATGATTAATTAATGAGATGTTTTGCTCAACCAGCAAATTAGAGGGACTTATTAGTCTATAATAATATGTATGGCTCTCTTATAGGAGACACTTGTGCATTCTATCACTAGCACCTGATATAAGTCATTAATTTGTAATTTGAAGTTAATTTTTCATTTAATCCAATCCTAATTAAATTGAAATTGAATATACTACTATTTACTAAACTTTCAACTACTTCATTTAAAAATTAACTATTGAATGACAAGGGACATTAGCAATATATTTGATTCAAACCAATCATGCAGTGTAGATTAAAAACTATTTAATCAAGCTTTAATCATTATTAATAGCCAAAATTTATCATGTTTACTAATCAAACACTTTCTCAAATTCCCACAAATCTTGTCAGCTTTGAGATTTACAAACAACACACACAATCCCACTATTCTTTCTCACTTACAGCTTTTCCTACTCCGATTATGCAACAAGAATCAAAATCATCATTTTCAATGTTACCTTTTGGCAAGCTTGAATCCAAATTTATACTCATTTTTCAAACCATCACTCCCTTCAACTACCACTACTCCTATTTCGATTGTAGATGATGAATTCAAAGACAACGGTACAAGCAATAAGCCATGTCAGAGGCACTACAATGTAGCAAATAACCAACTTCATATAACTTGAATCTTGCATTAACTTCAATTAAATATATAAACAAAGTATTTCTTGATTACTTTAAAACCCTTTTGTAGGTAACATGGAGGTTTATGACAAGCATGCATACATATAAAATATATATGGGAGTAATTCCATAATGAAGTCCATATGCTTCCACTTCTAAGCAAAAGAATAGCAGGAAATAGGAAGCATGACATCCCTCATAAACAAACAAAACATCCTTCTAGAATCGACATCCCCAACTTTCACATGTAAAACTGTAAAGTATCATTTCCTCACGCTTGCAAATAACAAAAAGTGTAACATGTGTGGAAAGTAAGATTACAAATCCAATCAAAATTTCACACAATTCTAATTAATATGTGCGAGAACCTGAGAAAAAAACGAGCTACCAAAGGAAGATGCTGAAATCAACTCTGTAGAAGAGCCATGAAATCAAAAAATAGAATACAATGAAAAGTACTTACAACGGAAGAAGAACAAACAAATAAGGGGTGAGAAAAAAAACGAAAGACCATTGATAGACATAAATAAGTATCTTAATGCATGCCTAAAGTTCAAATTCTACATGGTGAACCTAGAAACCCAAAATGTCAGGAAAATAGATTTAGCTTAGATGTAGATCACAAATGATAATATGTCATAATTCCGATGTAATCATGTTAATGTCATTAAGCAGGGTATTATTCAAACAAAATATCATATGGAAATACTAAAATACAATCAATAACTTCTGAGGTGTAAGAAAACTGAAGCTTTTAACCAAAACTCTTGCATATAAGCTTCAGCATCTGATGTTAAGTTCCAAAACATTAATAATTAAAAAACAGCCAGATGATGCAACATCAATTTCATAATCATCTAATAAAGTAGCCTTAAGGACCAATATAAATTAATAAATAAAATAATCCTAATAACGAATGATAATTTTATAGCATTCTTGCTTGGTCAACCAACATTAACAAGACAACAAAAATGAATTGAATTCATTATAAATGACAAAATTATGAAGACAAGCCTCAAGGTCCAGGCACAATTTGGAGAAAAATAATGAAATACACGTGCAGCAACGTTGTGAAGTTACAGTTTCTTCTGGTAACAAAGAAATTGAACCACGTGACCTCGTCGATCAAGCATTTAAACGATTAAAAATACTAAAAAACACCACTGAAAACTAGGAAAAAAACAATATAGCAGCATTTCCATCCTCTGACAATTTTCCAAAATATCTTTTCATATTTTTCTTCTGCAAGGAGAAATTTTGGGCGAAAGTATGATGAAAACCGGGATTCCAAGAAAACCCTAGATCTAAGAAAACGAATGGTATGATGAACATTTGAAATGAAATTTCTATAGAGCACCACATACCTATCTGTTGCGATTGCATCGAACTCGTTCCGTCGCCTCCGGCAACGAAAACCTAGAAGAGGGTTTTAGTGAAACTCATCGAGCGAGCAAAAATGCATCTTTTCGACGGTGTGTGATTTATAGGAGCCGATATTACGAGGACGCTCAGGATTCCGACCCGACCGGTCTGCATAGAAGAACCGGACAATTTCAAGGCAATACTCAGGCCGGTGGCGAATTTTTCCCCTCGGGACACAGGATGGCTCTACGTCCGCATTTCAGTCTAGCCAAAAGAAAAAACTTTGCGCTGAAGCCCGACCCGGCTCAATGTTTCAGTACATTTTCGTGTATTCCGTCTTTTTTGTATTATCTAGCCTATTCTTTGTCTTCCCTCATCTTTTTTGGATTTGTACGCCTCGACTCCTCAGAAACTTCTATTCTGTTTTTTACAGTAGAAAAATAGGGTTTCAAAAAACATTTTTTGACTCTGTTAGGGTTTAGTCATTGCAGTTCTACGGTCACTTTGTTTTTTTAGTGGAGATAGATTTTTCTCTTAATAAAGAAATTGGAAGTATAGATTACGAAAACAATGTCAACGCGATTGGAACGGAGGTGAGTTATCTTGCTTAACTGAATCTGTTTTCCAGTTATTTCTTGGCTTAGTTATCTACGGGTTATTTTGACGAAATGATCAATAACCCGAGAATAATCCAACAATAACCCGAGAATAACCCAACAATAACCGAGAATAACCTAACAATAAATTTTAGGACTATCTCCAATTACTTTCACTTATTTGAGGGTTATTATCATGTTATTTTGGGATTATTTACGGTTTATTGTTGAAGAAATAGCTAATAACTTGATAATAACCCAAGAATAACCCATGAATAACCTAAAAAAATCCTTCTTATCTGCATATATTGGGTTTATTATGAGGTTATTTTAGGGTTAATTCCATTTAATTTAACACTTATTTATGTGATTATTATCATGTTATTTTCGGGTTATTGTTGAAGAAATGCCTAATAATCCGATAATAACCCAAGAATAACCTAAAAAAATCTTTATTATCTGCATATATTGATGTTATTTTGAGGTTATTTTAGAGTTATTTTCATTTACTTTTACACTTATTTGAGTGTTATTACAATATTATTTTCAGATTATTTGCGGGTTTTTGTTGAAATACCTAATAATCTGATAATATCCCAATAATAACTCAAGAATAACTTAAAAACAATCCTTCTTATATGCATATATGACTATCTTTGTGATATAATTGTTCAAATTTGTAGTTACCTGGGCTAGGAAATGATTGCAATGATCCAATTGTTCGTAGTTTTCTTAATACTATTGTCCATAATGAGGTTGAGGCTTACGAACACTATTGCGCTTATGCACATCATGTTGGTTTCACTATACGCAATGACCATAGTAGTTACTGGGCTAAATCAAAGCAAATTAAGTCGAAAGATTATATATGTGGAAAAGCAGATCATAAGAGATAATCAAAGGTTGCCAATATGCTGAAGTACAGAAAAACTGATACAAGGACTGACTGTCAAGTCAGGGTTCGATATGCTGTTAATGTTGATGGCAATTGGACAATAAATAAATTTTTCGAAACTCATAACCACCCATTGGCAGAATCCGGTGACAAGCACCTTCTACGATCCAGTCAGAAGATTAGCAAGTTAAATGCATATTTGTTGAGATCAATGACAGGTTCAGAGATTAGAGCAGCGGACGCATTTAATTTCCTTTCTACAGAGGTTGGGGGAGTTGAAAACTTGGAGTGTACAAGGCAAGATACATATATATTTAATCAAAGGGAAAAAAGAAGCAGAATTGAACAAGGTGATGTCAACTCTCTGTTACAGTTATTCATGGAGCGACAAACTGAGGATAGCATGTTTGCATGGGACTTTCAAAGTGATGAGGAGGGTAGACTGACAAGATTTTTTTGGAGTGATGGGTCTTGCAGGCTTGACTATGATTGTTTTGGGGATGTCATCATTTTCGACACTAGTTACCGTTTGAATAAGTATAATCTATGTTGTGCTCCTTTTGAAGGGAAAACCCACCATCGGCAAAACATTCTCTTTGGATTTGGTTTTTTATCTGACGAGATAATAGAGTCCTTCAAGTGGTTAATCAAAACATTCATTCGAGTAATGAATGGTAAGCATCTAATTACAATTTTTACAAATCAGGATCAAGCGATGGCAAGAGATATTGGTGATTGTCTTCCACTCATAAGACAGACTATATCAATGGCATATATATAAGAAATTTTCGTCGAAAGTTCATTGTGATTTGGCGTACAAGAGCGTTAACAATCTATTTTACAAATGTATGCCGAAGTGTGATTCCGAAGAAGAGTTTGAAGATACGTGTGCTATGATGATTGAGCTAGGAAACATACACAACAACGTTTGGCTAAATTCATTGTATCATATAAGACATAAATTGTCAACAGCATTCAATAAGAAAATATTCGCAATGAGAATATTATCTATGCAAAGAAGTGAGTTCACAAATAATGTATGTCATGGTGCATCTAAGCCCACTAGTTCTCTCACTTATTGCTTTTTGGGTCTTGAAAATATAATGAAATCTTGGAGAATGAACGAGAAGAATGAAGACTTCAAAAGCTCTCAGAATGTTATTGCATCAGCGGCTAAAACAAGCCCAGTGTTGAGGCAACCTGCTACATATTACACTCGGAAGCTCTACTCCATGTTTGAGGAAGAGTTACTGCATGGGCTATGTGGATTAACTATTGATTTCTTAGTTAATAATCCATATGAATTCTATGTTATGAATTTGGATAATCGGGACACGAGTAGAGCCTGGATTGTTACATTTGACATGGTTAATTGCGATATCACCTGCAGTTGTAAGAAATTTGAAATGATGGGGTTGTTTTGCGCTCACTCTCTACGCGTTCTTAATGCGGTCAATTTAACAAAAATTCTTGAGAAATATTTGTTATTTAGATTGTCTGCTAAGGCAAAAAAAACATATATAATTGTTTTGGATACAAACGTATGAATGACTCTCAAATGTCGGACCGAACTTCCAAGAGATTCTTATTTCGGTCATATGCTCAGAAGCTTATCTACCAACTAATCAATAAAGCAGAAGGAAATGAACACGCCGAGACATATATGATGGAATCATTAAAAGCAATATCTGTAGGTGTTGATGATATATTAGATGGGAAGGATTCTAACCCAAATAAAAAAAATAAAAAAAGGAAATCACATAACAGAGAGTTCATAGTAGATGATCCCGCAAAAATAAGACCTAAAGGTATATCTAATGCGAGGTTGAAATGATACTGGGAAAAAACAAGAGAGCTAAGAATATATATTTCTACAATCCTTATATTCATTATTTTACATTACATTAATTTTCTCTAACTTGAACCACTATATACAAGAAAGGATCAAGAAGCATACATGAGCCAAGAACCGGAGATCCATTACAACGCAAATATGATTGCAGTGTCACATTCTCTGAGTCGGGTATAAAACCAAAATCCCACACTATTATTCTGGTTTTAGAACTAAAATATGGTCATTAGCATTCATTTCTATTTACAACAGAAATATGTGACACCAGAACCAACATACACCTCACTTCTGATGCATTCCATTACTGATCTCTAAGCTTACTGAGACAAACACCTTTTTATTAACAGAACAATGAACACTTACAATATATGTAAAGAATTGTGTAATATATGTTGAGGTTTTTGTGTACATATAATTGTTTTGATATGTTTGTTATGTGTACTTTACTATATAAATCTGTGTTGAATCTATTGTAAGAAGCCTAACAATAATCGTGGAGTAATCATGTAATATTACGTCAGCAATAATCCAACAATAGTCTGGCCAGAACTCCAGCAATAACTTGGAAATAACCTGACAGTAACCGAAAAAATCATAGAAATAACCTGAAAACACCTTAAAAGTAACTTGACAATACAATGCAATAACCTATAACTTTCTCCCCAAATAACATGAAAATAACCCAGCAATAACCTGGAAATACCATCGAAATATGCACTCGCAATAATCTAAAAATACCTTAGAAATAACATGAATATACCCTGACAATAATCTAAAAATAGCATAGAAAAAACCTGAAAATAACCGGAAAATATCTTAGAAGTAACTTGAAAATAACCTGAAAATACCTTAAAAATCACCTGACAATGTAATAACAATAACTTGAAAATACGTCCCCACATAACATGAAAATAACCTAGCAATAACCTTAAAATAACTTAGCAATATCACGACGATAATTTAGGTTCTTTTCAGGTTATTGCGAGTTATTTGTAGGGTATTTTCAGGTTATTTCTGATGTAATTTCAGATTATCGCCAGTGTATTTTCAAGTTATTTCTGATGTATTTTCAGGTTATTCCAGGTCATTTCTATGATATTTTCAGAGTACTGTCAGGGTATTTTAAGATTACTAACATGTTATTTTCAGGTTATTTCTATGATATTTTCAGGTTATTACTAGGGTATTTTCAGGTTATTATTAGGGTATTTTTAGATTATCGCCAGAGTATTTTTAAGTTAAATCTAAGGTATTTTCAGAGTACTGTTGGGATATTTTAAGATTACCGACAGGCTATTTTCATGTTATTTCTATAATATTTTCAGGTTATTACTAAGGTATTTCTAGGTTATTGCTAGGGTATTTTCAGATTATCGTCAGTGTATTTCGAGCTATGTGCAAACACTTACAATATACAAAGTCATATGCAATAATACTCTAGTGCAACAAAAAGAGACTCATACAGACATCCTGAAAACAATTATCTACATCCATTCAAATACATATTTACATATACTCCAAATAATTCATGCTTATCAACAGGTTACTATGACAATTTCAAACATATTTACAGCCATTCAAATATCATCCAAATAATTTATATATGCAAATTTCATATGCCAGCTCTGCCCTAAACCGAGCCATATACGCCTGTCAGTTCTGTTTATCCTTCCAATCAATTCTGTCTTTCAGTACAATTGTTTCCATATATTTACAAATAAAGATACCGAAGTCAACACTATTACTTTGTGTGGGAAGGTCTCTGGTCGTGGTAACATCCCATTTAGTCGGGTCATTGACGAAAGCTTCCCTGACGTCCTTGTGAAGATGTTTAATTTAGTAATAGAGATGATAGTTTAAATTGTTTAAATCATAAACA